AGTGGCGTTCTTATTGTCAGTTTCTATCCAGATTGCCTGAGTGAATGTCTGGAGGTGTAGGCACCTCGGAATGATTGTGTTAAGCTAGCACTAAGTCCCTCCCCCATCCACCTTCATTCTTTTCTTTACAATAAGTCTTTCAAATAAGTCATGGTTGTACGCCAGTGAAGCATCGGTGTTGAACACTGATGTCATGCTGTCGATGATGATGATGATGTTTTGCGACCTGAAAATCACAATTGTGAACCTGAAAACCCCAGCGCGAAAAGTATACCGATTCAGAGCCTTATTTATATGTGTTGTACTACAGGCAAACATATTTACTCTTTAGTAAAGAATGGTATCTCGTATCACACTGGGAATATAGACGCTAGGATCTTTTGACAAACCGCATCCCTTATATGCCAGTCTGGTGCATCGTAACGGTCACAGCTGAACTCAGTGGTCCCGAAATGTCACTAATATCCATTTTCACCGTTTGTTGGACTATCCGATTAAATGAAGGAAAAATCAACAGTGACTTCTTGGAACCCTCTACCTTTTACTACCTATTTGGATTACAATTCCTTCGAACTTTCTTATGGACAAAGTTCTGGAAAGTGTAACTGGGAAGATTTGGTGGAAGGTTTAGGAAAACGCAATAATAACCTATGGACGTACCGTTGGAGCCACCGTTGATGTTACTGAAACTCGAAAAATCCGGCTGTCGTCCTGCTCCATGCTCCCATCCGAATCGGTGTTTTCCGTACGTGCGAACGTCCCCGATTTGGAGTGCACTGCTGCACCACCGTCAGATTGCTCCAAAGATGAGTTATACTGCGAACTGTCACCGAAATCGTCTCTGTTCAATGCAACTTTACAAGTGTGCAAATGACGCTTCAAAGTGCCATTTTGAGAGAATGCGGCGCCACAGTGGGAACACTTGAAGGGACGTTCTCCTACAACAGAATGAAGTAAAAGGGCTTATTATACCTCGGAAGGCCGACTCATTGTCACTACGACTTCCTATAATATATTTTATGCTTTGTTATTGGATAGACAGTGAGAAAAACCTCTTGGACGCAGGCCATGTCAACCAACATCAATATAGGGACTGAGAAATTTCTGATTCCATAAAGTTTTATCTTACCGTACTTAACGAACCAGCGGACAGCTGTTCAGTTTCTACTGGGACCCTGAACTGCCTAAAGGGATTATAGCATTTAGAAAATCAAATGGGCTACCGTTTCGCGCAATGCCTGGTTGCCACATACAACACCTACTTGTAGGTTAGGTTTTGTACAAACCTCGTCCTGGTGTATGATTGTTTACTTCATACTGTAAGACGTACTACACTGTTCTCATTCTATCGAGCGAACGGTCAGTCCGAGTGCTTGTTATTTCCGGTTGATGGGGACACTCGTTCGGTTTGTGATTTACCTCTCACACTGAGCTGTGCCACGTAGGGCTTGTACTAAGCCGTTTTTGCTTGACGTAAATCCGAGGGGTTAAGACTGCGGGGTGTGTGGTGGGGAATTTATAAAGGCAACATCATGTCCACATGAAGGTATAAAGTGATCAGACTATGTGGGATTAACAAGAAATCCGCAAAGTTTGCGATGGCAGTTTCCCTGACGCGCCATACGCACTAAAAACATCCACACGTGCCTTAGCTAGTGTTAGTCAAGAACCAGTTTCATCGATACAGCGGAGGTCACAACAATCCGGAACATCCAGAGCGTTAAGGTGGAACATGAAAAACAATATTCAACGAAACGAAGAAGCATTCCATACGATACAATACAATACAATACAATACAATGTAATGCAATATGTACAAAAAAATCCGAGTTTACAATGGGAATAAACAGAAAACCCCGTAGATCAAATTATGGGCTTCCGCTGGCGAAGTACATACAGCCCCACAGGTTTTAGGCTCGTATTTGCTACAAACGCGCTAGCGCCGTGCCCAGTCTCCGACACAGTGTGACTGCTAAAAAG